TCTTATAAAATATATAGATTTATGATAATTAAGACTGAGCTAACTGATGAGGAATCCTAGTCATTGGCCAAGCAGCTTTGAACCTAATACAAGTATCTGTGTATTCATTTGGGCCCTAACTCAGGCAGGCGGCTGGTGTAAAGCTCACATGTGGCGGTGGGGCTCAGTGGCTTTTGGCGGGAAGATTTATCATAACAGTGACCCAAATGCAAGCCAAACACACCATAAGTGTTGGGCTTTGCCCAAACCACACACTAAGCTTGTGCTTTTGAAAGGCACCCAAACAATTCTAAGTGTTATATAACTAACAGCCTTCGATCTTTGCCGTTTTAGATTTCTACAGAATTAGAGTAAGCTTGGAAAACTTAGGAATGTCTAGTTCTTATTGTTGCTATATTTTCCTGTTTCTCTTTATTCTCTTGGTATGTCTGTTTTCATCAAAGACCTTTGCAGGCTTCTCCCTCCTCATCATCTTTGTATATTGACGATTTTGTTACAGAATCATTTCTTCTTATATATAGCCTCATACTGTAGGTGCATACTAATGTGTATTTGACAATTATCAAAACTCCTATGAAGTTCTCTCTTCTGTGCTTTAGATCAAAATGTTACTAATGAATATTACTATACAACACATTTCTCAGAGTTGCCCAGATAAGCAGTGTTGTCTCTTTTCCTATTTACACATGCTGCTTAAAATACCCTACTCTGAAACATTTCCATTTCTTCCTCTCTGGTTTTCTACCTAATAATGTGCCAGCACTTAAATTTAATGATAATACCCCTCCCTGGATCTGAATCAGTCTGAGTCTCAACATACACCCAGACTGTTCCTGCACTTTAGTAGTAGATATGATGTATATAGTACATATCATATAAATTATACCACTGTTTTAAAGGAAATGTAAGTTGTGTTTTATTTCTTCAATTAAATAAATTGTTTTATAAAACTTTGTTTGCCTGTGAGAAGAATAAACAGGGCCTGTCATTATGTGAGCCTAGTTCTACTGATATGTGGGCATATATTATGTTCAATATGTTTATAGATATATCTGTGTTATATATACACATATGCACATATATATGATAATACATACATACATACATACATACATACATACATACATACATACAACATACACACCACACACACACCCCCAAACACACACACACCCCCACACACACACACACACACACACACACACACACACACACACGATGTTGTTAGATAACCAGAACCTACTCTGTGGAAGGAAAGAACCAAATCTTACAAGTTTTCCTCTGACCTCCAGAGACACACCCCTTCCCCTAAAAATACTATGAATACTATGGAAATATTAACATTATTTTTAAAAAGAAAAGCAGAAGAATGATGTATCCCCATCCCATCTCTGGAAATCTGGAGTTTTCTGTGGCAATATTTGTGTGTGTGTGTGTGTGTGTGTGTGTGTGTGTGTGTGTGTACTGAAAAATCTAATGTCTATCAGCAATGGCCACAGCAATAGTTGCACTAGCCCAGGAAGAATGAAGTTTGTGTGCACTAGTTTTCTTTCTCTTTTTACTTTTTATTTCCATGTAGGCCCCCAGCCTATTATATAATTTTAGCCACACCCATGGCAAGACTGTTTCTCTCTCGCAACCTTCTCTGTAAATATCTTAACATATTTGTCACACACGTGCTTTACTGATCCCTTAACAAATCCTCTTCTCAATCCAGTCATGTGGGCAATCATAATTTGCTATTATGGTATGGGGCCATTCAATTACAGGAGGCATTTAAAGCACAAATAGACAGCTTAGTTGTCCATCAACATAGGAAGCTATAAAGAAAGTATGAGGCATATATATTCATGAAATCTTCTTTTATCAAAAAGGAATGAAATGCTGTCATTTCAAAAATAACATATAGAATCTCGGGGATTTACATTAAGGGAAATAAGGCAGAAACTCATGTCACATGTTCTTTCACATATATGGAACACAATTTAGAGGGATCTGAATGAAGAACATGTATGGAGGGAGCTACAGTTATGAGGACAGAATGGAAGGAGAAAATGGGGAGATGAATGGGATAGAGGGTGGTTCTCACCATTGCAGATATGTGCGTGCATGTTTGGATATGGCAGAGTAAATCTCATTCATGTGAATACTTAATGCATACATGCTTAGTTTAAAAAAAAGAGACAGGAAACATGCTTCATGGGTTCAAGTCAAAATGGAAAGCACACGGAAAAATGAGTCAGCCTTCTCATTCCTGTGGGACTAATATGCTTTTTCAAATGGTTTGGTAATTTCTTTAATTAGTAAAGGAACATATTCAATTGACATACTCGAGTAGATTGTAAAACAGTTTCAAATTTATTAAACACAGTGCTTCCAAGGAAAGGTATTAGGTTATGTTAAGGTACAACATAAGAAAAAAAAAAAAACAAGAGACTAATTCATGAGTTAAAAGTATACATAGGTAAATTTATGCACACTCACAGACAATTTAAGTTGAAAGCCATAGTACTCGAGATATCATAACACCAAACAGCAGAGGTGAAATATTGAGATAAAAAATGTAAGTATATCTGTACATAGACAAAATGCTGTCAATCAGCACTAATGATGAGCATCGTTTACCAGCTAAATAAACCAATTAAATGAAACTTAGTTTCCTGGAAACACCTCTAACATCCTCTCCCCAGATAAGTCTGGGAGCTTTTGTTGTTGTTATTGTTACTGTTTTTCTGTTTGTGCTAATTTATTTAGCAGTTTGGTTTCTTTTCTACATGACAAAGATAAGTTGCAGTCTGTAATTTTTATAAGGCCATTGAGTTAATTCTAACATTTACTGCCAAAATCATCTAACTACTGGTATTAGAGAGAACACATCCATATTTCTGCCAAGGGAGCTGATAATTCAATATTTGTACAAATTTGCAGTGGTTGCTGCTCACCAAACTGCTCAGTGCTCACTTGAAGGTTGAGAGACATGGAATCTGGTGTGCAGCTAACAAAATAATGACAATTTCTGGTAGTGTGGGGACTGTCTTGTGTGTGTGTCGCATGACGTAGGATCACAGCTTTTCTTCATAGTCCTCAGAGAGCAGAGAAAAAAGACACGTTTCCATAGCCATTACATTCTGATGTTGCTGTTTCAAAACAGAGATATCACTAATTACTATAAGCATCCCTTCAAAGAAGATATCCAAAGCATTGCACAGATACTTGTTATTCTATATTAAATATACACTACTTACGTTTTCTGTCGTAAGTTTCATCTTCAAGTTTTCCATTTCTTCTTCCATTGTGCATTGCTCAACAGCATCTAGACGTAGGTGATTATCCTCAAGGTCTTTGACACTCTGAAACAAAACAAGACAAAGCAAAACAAGAGTCTAGCCCATTTGTAAATTCCCACTTTCCATGTCACATTGAAAACATTCAAAGTCCAAAATTTTCAAATTTTTGCTGTCAGAGGATGCTTGTTATGAATGCAAAACATGGTGACATTTAAGCAGATTTTAGTGTTCATTAAAAGATTTCAGTGGTAGAGTTGTGTGAAATATAATCACAAGAATAAAAAGAGGTGTAGAATTAGTTCCAGAAAAAAAAAATAGGCTGGTGAATGAGCAGTAGAAATCCAAAGGAAATAGACAGAGAAAAGACATGCAGGCCCATAGCATGAAATACCATATACTTCTCCCATCCCCCGGGGATCCAGGTAATGGCTTAATATCAACTTAATGATAGAACATGTAAAATGATTTCCGTTTACATTCCATAGAAACGATAAGACACATAACCTTATGACCGTTCAAGTTACACAGAACATCATTTAGATTTTAAACGGTTTTCCTGTTCAGCCAAAGAACAGTGACTTGGTATGTGCTATGGGGAAAGAACTGTGGCATATGTGGAAGAGTGGGAATGTGACTGTCCAGTTTCTACAATTGCTATCATATTACTATGGCATGGCTAAGCATACAAACAGGAATAATATTTAAAAAGTTAAAATGTGTTTGGAAGAAGCTGATGGGGTATTTGGCCCAAAGGGGGAGATTAATGGGTTCTCTAGATAAAGACAGGAATGAGGGGGAAAGATAAGCAAACCAGGGAAACAGAGTGGTGAGTTACTTCAGAGGAAGCTACTATGCTGGACATATGGAAGCAAAGGCAGGATGCAGCCAAAGAAGCTTTTCCTTGAAGGAGACCAATGCTTTTGAGGAGGGAATTGGAAAATCCGAGAATTAAGAAAGGGAGACTACTGACAGACTTGGAAGGGGGAAGAACTCTGTTTTAGGATGACACTTTATGTGTACATTTTGAATGCAATATGAGAGGTGGGTTACTTCCACCTAAACGAGGGATCAAAAGACAGAACTCAGAACAGACCACTGTGGTTTGACATCAGAACCTCTAAGGATAGTCAGACCAAATGTGTAATTCTCTTTTTACTAAAAGTTTATTTCAGACACTCTTTTTTTCCCATTCTGTTAGATATTTCAGCCATCTCTAACAGCTACAAAATGGAATGTAAAGCTGCCATTGGTCAAGAATAATTCTAATATAAAAGGTATCATAATAACCTCACATATTTCACTACACAACAAAAAAGAGTTACTAATAAGCCTTTAATCCTGGTACTGAGAAGGCAGAGGCAGACATATCTCCGTACAGTCAATGCAAGCCAGGTCTACATAGCGTGGCCTCATCCCAAACAAACAAGAAAGCAAACAAAAAAACAGAGACTAATGTATAGTTTACCCTTGCCTGTATCCCACTTAAGAAAACTGTCCATACTAAACAAGAAAAAGAAAACCACAAATTATTTATAAATTTACTAATCTCCACCCTGCATGTATCAACTAGAACATAAAGTAAAATAAACATCAATGTTCTCCACAGAGTGTTTAGTTCTAGGTGAAGTCCAAATTTTTACATTTCCTGATTTAAATGACTCATAAAACTTGATATGGTTTTAAATTAAATTCGCCCTTTGCAACCATGGTTAATCTTGGAAAGCGCCCAGACTAGAAAAGAGGTCAATACTTTAAAAGAATAATCTAATAATTTTCCCCCTGGATTCAGAAGGAACCACTCTGTCTCCTACTTTAATGTATACACTGCATCATAAGGATGTGATTTCTTAACAACTGCAATAAACAGACCTGTAGAAATTGATCAGAGATCTTTTTCGCTTCATCAATGGTTGCTTTCTGTGCCATTGCACTCTTTTTTAAACTCTCCACATGCTGTTCATACGCATTCTAAAATGTAAAAGACACAGGTGACAAAATGCAAGAAAACTAAATATTCACAATCCCAATTACATTGGGCTTAAAGGAAAACACTTTAAATTAATCACTGTTGGCATTTGCTATTTTAAATATTATGTTCAATTTTAAATGATTTTTAATTATTTAAAATGAATATTTCCATCAGTCTTGGACTAAGATAGTCTTTGTGTCACCAACATTTGAATGCAAGTATTCTTGAGGCTGAAGTCAACAGAGGCTCCTTCCAATCCGTGAATTCCTATCTCACAGAAATTAATTTTATGGATTTTATTCCTTATGGTCTATTAATCAACGAGTATTAGTTTTTGCACACTTGTAATATGGACACAGATGAAATTTCCAAATGCAGCCCTTTCTGTGCTTAACCTTGTCTACAACTATAATCTTGGCCTAACCCCTGCTGGACCTCAAAGTAAAGTCATCCCCTAGATTTCTTCATCCACATGTACTAGGCATGAAACAGATGAAAGGCACACGACAACCATTTGTCGGGTACTGCTCGAAAGTATCTCTGTAAATACAGGAAGGCAGAACTTGGTTAACAGCCAACCAACTCTGTGAGGTAGAGACTTGGCTGTCCCCCTTTCAGTCAGAAAGAGAATGAAACACAGGGGTAACTGGTCAAAACTACAGGTGGATTCCAAGCAGAGTTCCAGAGCCCAGGCTCCTGTCCACAAACATGGATGGTTTCCCCATTTTCCCAGCACCTAGGCTCTTTCCTAGCTTTTAGAATCATTCTCTTTAGTACTACAGCTCAGTACTCTGTCAAGATATGTGAAGCCCCCAAAAGAACATTTTCTCTTGTCCAACACCCAATTTCCCTGTCCTCGTGGTCTCAGTTTCACAGTAAATATCATTATCAGTTACCAAACCTTCTCTTGCATGTAAGACCCATTCCCTTCCCGTCCTGGCCTGGGACTTCCAGAACACCAACTACTCAAAGCCAACACCTCACCCTGCTCTGCCAGAGCAGCCACATGGTCTATTCTCACTTATAATTGTGTAGCACTGTGTCACAAAGTTATTCTGGGCACTCCTACTGCTTGTCATGTGTATCTCATTAGGCTCCTATATGGTGTCCTTTCAGTGGAGAGAGGGAGGAAAATGAGGAGAGAGAGAGAGAGACAGAGACAGAGACAGAGGCAGAGAGACAGATTGAGAGAGGGGAGAGAGAGAGAGAGAGAGAGAGAGAGAGTGAATATGTGCCTTTTCTGGAAAATCTCCAATGAGGATATGCTCTGTTTGTTAGCTAGCCTGACACCTAATCAATGATATTGACGTGTAACCAGAAACAAAAGAAGCAAGCCAGAAAGGATGGCCATCCTCCCAACATCCCATACTTCACCCATCTTGTTCATCCAAGATCTGAACAGCTGTGTGAATTCCTACTACTTTAGACTTTGTTACAACAGATTAATTACAAAGTTAAGCCTGACACCTACAACAAAACTCTCTTCTTCTTGCTCAACCTTCATCACATCTTTTTCCCATTGTTGAAACAAAGGCACAAACATCTGAGAATATTTGGAATGAAGCATCCGTCTGTAAAACATAGAAATAAGCATGGTTTTATAACCATGAAGTTAAGGCAAATTACACATTCTCAGAAAAAAAATTGACTTACTTCCTACTGCTTAAAGAGAAGAGAAAAATAACTGAAATAATCAGATGTTGGAGAGAAAAGTGAGGTTAGGTAGCTTCGTTAGTAAAGTATGTAGTCCTAAGTTACTAGTAGAGAGGCTATGCCACATGCCTTCCCTCTTGAGCAAGGGGGATTCATTGCTATATAAATTTTTCCATCATTACTTATTTTTCTTGCAAACAGACTACATTTCTCTCTTACTAAATAACAGATTCTGATATAGTGAGTTGATGTATTGTGAATGACATAAGCTTTCACCCTCAGGTACTCACATAAGGGAATAGTTAAGTGAACAGTCTTTTCCCATTGTCACAGTGGTTTTCACAGAAAATGGTGATTGCAATTTGAGAATTATTCAAATTACTTATAATATTATCACTATAATGCAGGCTCATATTTACAATATGTTTGACTGTCTACATAGTCAAACATCATTTACATAGTTAATGCTCTGGTACTGACCATTCATCTAGCCAACAAATTATAAAACGTAAGTGTCAGTGAATTTTACAGTCATACAGTTATGGTGTTGTCTAAAAGGCAAGAAACTGGCTATATTCACTGTCTTCTAACTTATAGATCTCAATTCTGTAAAACTGAGGTCCTAAAACTAATGAAAATTTCTGTTGGGTGGAAAATCAAGGTGACTGCATTTTTCAGTGGAGATTCAAATCAGTGCAAAATGATAAAATGGAGTCTGATTTTATTTGCACTAATGAAGAGTAAGAAACTGCAAAAATTTTGTAGTTTAAAGAAGCTAAAAACTTTACCTTTCTTTTTGTTGTGTTTTATAAATATACAGAAGCTTTCTATTCAGGACGTTCATAGAAGTTTTTACACCTTTGCGAAACTGCTTTCTCTTTGCAAGGTAGGACTTTGTAAGTTCACCTATATATGAAATAAAATTTTATTAGAAGGTAAAATTGGAAGTTAATTTGTTCCCACTCATATTGATATGGGATACGTAGATTGATGAATATTGCAAAGATATTTAAAATTGATACATGTGGCATCATTTCAAAACATAAGGTTTGCTGACTTTTTATAAACACTTCCACTTTATAAGAACAGAATTCTTGTTTACCTGTGTGTGTGTGTGTGTGTGTGTGTGTGTGTGTGTGTGTGTTTTACATACATATATGTAAAACCATTTATTCTAGAGATTAGAAAGGTACAAGTCAAAAATGGTCTCTATTTTTTAACGTGTATATAAAGATGGGCAAAGACAGCGTTTAATTTCCTCCTTAGAACCAGTTAATATAAAAACTTTAAACACTTAGTACATAGTCTTCCTTTCAAATGATTCTCTTAGTATAGAATCTTGTTAGAAAACATTTGACAAAGCACGAACATACTTTATTTTTAAAACTGCTAAAACATATGGATAAATATACAATGTGAAAGCTAGTTTTAATCACTGTGCTATATGATACATAGGCACCATATTTTACTATAAAAGACAACATCTGGGGGGATTCAGAGTAAATACAAATTTAAATTATTTTTCTTAGACTGCATAACACATGCTCAACTGTAAGTACTGGAACTCTATAATATTTCACTAATAGCAATGCTGTATTCATTGTATGACTTTATATCAAGGTCCTATGGACAACAGCTATTTTTAGGACTTATAAATCATCCCTGCCATGATAGGAATACATGAAATTATGTATCTAGTAAAAATATCGGGGACTCTTCGTAATCCAAGTTCTTGTCAGCACCAAACAGATAAAAGTTTTCCGACATGTTTGTTTGTTTGAATTGTCTTTAGAGATGGGTTAAAAAAAATCAGAGAGAACTGGTAATACTCTTATCTCTAGAGACGTATCCAAAAGTTAGTCACTTTGTAAAGATGTTTGCCCATTCATGTGTGGCTAATAATAGTTTGCATAAGGTTAAGGATCCAACCTCACATTTCTCAGTGGTGTGGGGGTGGAAGGTGGGGAGGGAGCAAACTACTTTCTTTGGTTTTTCCACATAAGTAGCTCATTCATATAAATGGTTGTATGAAAGGGCTCCCATCAGCACTGTTATCCTAAGAAAACAACTTCAAAAATCCAGAAAAACTAAATTAATTCACAACACAAAAAGGACATGCTGAAACTAATGAATACAATAGCCAGGACTTTAAAAATGAAGATTATCTCATCCACTCCAACAAGTAACATGCACCCCACTCAATTTCTACTGCCCCAAACACCCATACCTCTTCAGGTTGTTAAAAAATATTTCCATTTTCTCTTTAATCCCTGCACTCGGGATGCAGAGGCAGGCAGAACTGTGACTTTGAGGCCAGCCTGGTCTACAGCGCCAGTGCCAGGATAGGTTCCAAATCTACACAGAGAAACCCTGTCTTGAAGAAAAAAATATCCATTTTCCCAGTTTAAAAAGTGAAAAAATGTGCCAGGTGTTGGTGGCACACGCCTTTAATCCCAGCACTTCGGAGTCAGAGGCAGATGGATCGATGTGAGTTTGAGGCCAGCCTGGTCTCCAGAGCGAGTGGCAGGACAACCTCCAAAGCTACACAGAGAAACCCTGTCTTGAAAAACCAAAAAAAAAAAAAAAAAAAAAAAAAAAGTGAAGAAATGTATAAAAACCAAATGACAACCCATACATAAAGCAATCCTATATATGTGAAGAAGACATTAAATGGGGTCTTGTAGGTCAGTGGCTGTCTTGTGACATGAAAGGTATATGACTGAAAAACAGAACTTGTGAAAGTCGAGCATCTCCTAAAACATACCTTGAAGTTCCTGTAACATCTTCTGAACAGACTCCCTATGAAAAACCAAACAAAATTCTTAAATGAGTGTATGAATATTCAGTTCATTTGGAAATAAATATTATTTGGTGCTCAAGAGACAATGGCTTAATTTTATGAAACTATCTTCCAGTGACAGGCAAACAGTACTTGACATATATCACCTTGCTTGCTGTTCGTCTTGATCTGATGAAGCACTGTCCTCCTCACTGATTTCCAACCCAGGGGTTTCTACCACATTGAAGAAATAGAAAATACAAAAATAAGTTGACTATGAAATTCCTAGGCATCCTAGACAAGTAAAGTACTTTTAAATCCCACGTGTGTGCACAGGTCAGGTGAAAACTGGCACGTGCCTGGGGATATTTTATTTAGGCATTTATACAAGACATCCAGAGTTAAAGTAATTTTAAATCATGTCCTTGCCAGGAGACAACTTTGAAGTGAGGATGGCTTAGGCTAGGAGTCCTGGGGTAAGAACATCAAGGGGGAACCTAAAGTCAATAAACAAGCTTGAGATACATAGAAAAACAAGTTTTAAGCACTTGAAATGTCCTGCAATCTGAAGCAAGGATCCTGGGCTTGAGCTAACCTTATGTCCCACCTGCCAAGAGATAGGCCAGACTGTCCTCTGGGGTAGGCACAGCCTTGCACAAAACCCTCTGATTTTACCTGGCTTTTTGGGAACACTGCGCTTCAACTCATCATCAGAATCCGGGGAATCCTGTGGGCGCTTCGAAGTTTTGCTTGTAGCCTTCTTCCCCTTCGGTGGCATGTCTGCTGTGCCCTGGTGTTAGTCCTAAGTCTTAAACCTTGTGATTGCAATGACGTACAAAAGCCCCAGGAATTAAAAGAGAGTCATAGAAAAAGGTACGGGGGTCCATGGGTAGGGGAGACAGGGTAACTTGTCTCTGTACTGGAGCAGGGGGGTTCATGGAGGATTACAATGCCGCGGTGGCCTGTCCTATCTGGTCTCCACCGATGAGGATAAGTGAGGAGCTGGCTTTGTCCTGCACACCTCCACCTATATACCTTCTGCTGGGTTCCTGCCTTTGGCGGGGCTGGGGGGGGGGGGTTCTGGGTAGGGGG